GAGGATCTTGGCATAGTGCAGCAGCCTCCTCTACGTGCTATGAGGGTAATGAATGCATCATCCCCTTCTCACCACCTGATTTCTTGTGGATGGCTGGAAGCCTAACATTTCCTACAGCATGGTACATCTGGCCACAGTGGTGGCCTTAGCTGTCAAATTGTGGTAATGAGTATAGACTCCTTCCATCTGGTGTCAAGGCTTTGTCTTAATCATTCAGGGAAAGGAACTAAATTTGTTAGGCAACTGCCCAGACTGGAGGCTTCCCTGCCCTGGAGTCTGTTGTGTAGGCAGGAATATTGCAGTGGACCTGTGTGATAAGACAGTGGTGTTGCATCTGACAGAGAGGACCAGATTGCTTGGCTGGCATATTCATCTGCAAGTGAATGATCAACAGCAACAGTCACTGCCATGTCACTCTTCTATGAGGAGGCAGCTATACCTTTGCTATGGATCTGGACACTGGTAAAACCACTGTTTACTAGGCCCATTCTTGGATGTCTCTGCAATAGACTCCCTGGACAGAAAGAGAGACTAAAGACTTCTAGAAAGGTAGGGGAGGGCTTGACTCAAATTAGAAATAGATTAAATATACTGTGATGGCTAAACCAAATGCCCACTAATTCTAGGACACCCTTCAGTCCTCTAAGGAACTTGTGAAATAAATGGCAATGCAGTGTGACAAACAAATGAGGGGCTTGAGGAAAATTACCCTGTGGTTTCTGCCTCTTATTCACCCAGTGAGTCTTCCCTGTGGTGAAAGGGGTCTGAACCCAGAGGCCGTGGCAAGTATAACTCCTTTATCCAGCCTGGTTCTGCTGTGTTTCCACACAGTGCATGGTAGGAAGAGCCTCCAGACATGGTCACAATGTCCCTTATATTGTCCTTCGGAGAATCCAGTCTCTGCCAGTCCCCTAAGTTCTGGACAACACAGGATATTTCAGAGCAAAGGCATTGGTTTGTGAGAGCAGGAGACCTTTAGGAGACTGGCCTGAGCAGGGATCTCCTTCAAGTGACTATTCTGCTTGTAGAGACTATTCAGAGACCAGATGTGTTCCCAGGAATCCCCCTTGGTACTTTCCTCCTCTGACATGTTCTTCTAAGACAGCATTGCTCACTGCCAAAACATATTGCCATGATGACTGTGTGATTTACTTTATGATTTTTGGATTATGAGCCATGGTGATTTCCTCTCACAATTGAACAGTACAAGACAGTTCTCCACTGAGCACCTTTTCCCTGCTTTGGTGGTACAGGTACACTACTACATGTGAGATATATAGTGTGTATATTCGATAGTCCCACACAGTTGTCCCAGTAAGCTAACCATCCAGCTGTGCTTCTGTCCAACATTACAGGACATTACTATCATGCAATAGCTTGAAGAAAGGATTGTTTTTCTTAGGGCTTTGCATAAGATTCCTTGAACTTTGGCTGGAATTGCTTAGAAGTATATATGACGTTGGCCAGGACTTGGCTTGTGTTGAGAAATGGTCATGGAGCAGAGGGGCATGCATATAGGGAAAGAGGGGTAAGGGCATGTTCTTAGCTAGGAGGAGAGGTATTTTTTTGCTGCCTTAGAGAGTTTCCGTTGCAATGCGGAAATCTGCCAGTGTTGGCTCTGGTGATCTTCCAGCTTACTTCTCCCTTATCATATTCTTCAGTACCCCAACTGGGCTGTCTTTGCCCTGTCTTTACTTTTATCAGATTTTGGGTCAGTGAGGTTCCTGAAGATGATCAGTGCAATTCCTCAACCATGAGGTGCAGAACATTGTCAGTCATAGAATCATAGAATACCTCAAGTTGGAAGGGACCCATTAGGATCATTGAGTCAAAATCCCTGCTTCTCACAGGACTAGCTAAAACTAAACCATATGACTAAGAGTGTCCTCCAGACACTCCTTGAACTCTGACAGGCTTGGTGCCTTGACCACATCCCTGGGGAGCCTGTTCCAGTGACTGACCACCCTCTCAGTGAAGAATCTTTTCCTATGTCCAATCTGAATTTCTGCTGATGCAGCTTCATTCCATTTCCTCATGTCATTGTATCTGGGGATTGTCAGTATATTTGGGGATCTTATTGAGGGGTATCTCTTGTAGTGTTCTTGACCATAGGGCCCTTCCCAAGATTTAGACCTGTAAAGATTAGTGTAGGTGTGTGACTGTTCTCTCTCCTTTACTGCCAGATGAGGAAAGCAGTATTCTGTACCTAACAGTCCATCTTCTCCCAGGGCTGCTGCATGCAACACTGGCTAGCTGGGCTTGACCTGTCAGGGAAGACTTGTTCTATCTTCCTCTCATTTCCACAGGTCATCTTTCTTCAGGGACTTCTTGTAATACAGGACTTCCTTCTCTTGGTCCTGCTCTTCCAGGAGAAGCAGATACTCCTTCATCCCTCTTGATGTCCAATCACAGACAAATTGTCTATGCACATCAGAATGTGGAAAATATAGAAAACCCTGAAGAGCATGTTTGCTTTTCAAAGAGACTCTTTTGCAGGTCTCCCTACAGCAAGTGGGCATGCAGGGAATAGTGAAATGATGCAGTGAGATGAGATAAACTCTTTGATACGTGTCTACTCTGCATCAGAATATGACAGGTGAGTCTCACCCAGAACATATATTTCATTATGAAACAATGTTTGATTTCTATAGAAGAGAGTTTTTAAATACAAGCACATAAAAAGAATTAAGAGATCTCCATCTACTGTTGATAGTTGCTGCACTTCTTACGTTCTAAAGTTTTATGTCCTTCAATTTTTATATTAAAAATTTCCTTATTGTCTAAAAAGGTGATTTAGGTAGACTCTGCGTATGCTTTCTTTTAAACTGAATCAACCCATTATCATTTATGAGATGACTATCTTGCACTTAAATATTTGCTTCTAGTACTGCTACTTAGCAAAATCAATGGTAGATGGTGAACTCCTCATGTTTCACAAACAGCTTGCTGGAGAAATACAAAACCCCATGTATTGAGTTTCTGTGGCAAGGTTTTGGTAACGGGGGGGGTTACAGGGGTGGCTTCTGGGAGAAGCTGCTAGAAGCTTCCGCTATGTCTGATAGAGCCAATGTCAGCTGGCTCCAAGATGGACCCACCACTGGCCAAAGCCAAGCCAATCAGCGATAGTGGTAGCACCTCTGTGGTAACATATTTAAGAAGGGAAAAAAGTTGCGGTGAGCACAGAAATGGCAGCCGGAGAGAGGAGTGAGAACATATAAGAGAAACAACCCTGCAGACACCAAGGTCAGTGAAGAAGGAGGGGGAGGAGGTGCTCTAGGCGCCGGAGCAGAGATTCCCCTGCAGCCCGTGGGGAAGACCACGGTGAGGCAGGCTGTCCCCCTGCAGTCCAGGGAGGTCCACGGGGGAGCAGATATCCATCTGCAGCCTGTGGAGGACCCCATGCTGGAGCAGGTGGGTGCCTGAAGGAGGCTGTGATCCCATGGGAACCCGCGCTGGAGCAGGCTCCTGGTAGGACCTGTGGATCTGTGGAGAGAGGACCCCACAGAGCAGGTTTTCTGGCAGGACTTGTGACCCCGTGGGGGACCCACGCTCGAGCAGTGTGCTCCTGAAGGACTGCACGCTGTGGAAGGGACCCATGCTGGAGAAGTTCATGAAGGACTGTCTCCCGTGGGAGGGACCCCACTCTGGAGCAGGGGAAGAGTGTGATGAGTCCTGTCCCTGAGGAGGATGAAGCAGCAGAGACAACATGTGATGAACTGACCGTAACCCCCATTCCCCATCCCCCTGTGCCTCTGGAGCGGGGTAGGTAGAAATCCAGGAATGAAGCTGTGCCCGGGAAGAAGGGAGGGGTGGAAGGAAGGTGTTTTGAGATTTGGTTTTATTTCTCATTACCCTACTCTGGTTGATTTGCAATAAATTAAGTTGATTTTCTCCAAGTTGAGTCTGTTTTGCCTATGATGGTAATTGGTTGAGTCATGTCTCCCTGTCCTTATCATAAGCCCTTTGTTATATTTTCTCTCCCCTATGCAGCTGAGGTGGGGAGTGATAGAACAGCTTTGGTGGGCACCTGGCATCCAGCCAGGGTCAACCCACCACACCCCACAATCTTGTTTGATCTTCAGTCTTTATGGAGGAGATCAACATGAGAACACAATTTCCAGAAATATTTCTCTTTTTTATGATATAGAAATAACTATCCATATTCAAACTCAATCTCTGGTAAGTGTAGCAGACTTTCCTGATACCATACTGATACCTCAGTAGAAACTGTTAACATTCTTGAAAGTGATTTTCACTTAAACTTGTTCTTTTTATCTATGACATTACTTCTTTGCATTATATTGTATCCATAATGAAAAAAAGAAAACACTCCATCACCTTTATCTGTCTTAATATATGTGTAATTTTCTTTCAGTTGTCTGTAAAATACTCAGTTTTACCTATGCACAGGAATCTGCAGCCTTAGCTATTCTTTCTTCTGTAGTCTTTTAACTGTAGGTTCTTGTCACTCACCCCATCTGTGAGCTGGCTATCATTTTGTGCTATGTATGAAACAAAACATCTTCAGAGAAATAAAGTAAGGATATCTCTTCACGACACTATCTCACCGTGTTGGTTTGATTGCTCATCAAAGCTTGGAGTGAACGTCAGTCTCCTGAATCAAAGTAGAAATTTGAGTTTCTCACACCCTTAAACCTAACCAAATAAGCAACATTTTTCAATTAATAAAAAATAATATATTTAAAAAAAATGTTGCAGGAATCTCTTTTCCTTTTCTTTTTTTTTTTTTCCCTAATAATTCATCAGAATAACTTGAAAGAACCTAGACTTAGTCTATCAAAGAAATGCATATTTCTCATTGCAAGATGAATAGCAAAGCAATATAATTGTTACTATTCCTCATGCATTTTTAAAAATGTAAATGTAAAAATTTATTGCTGTTTAACATACTTTTAGATGTGAATGTGAACTGTGTACATGTACTCCAAAAGTAATGGATGCTAGAATAATAAAGCAAGCATGCTAGTCACTGTTCATGTGCAAAGGTCTCTATTGTGTTTATTACCTAGACATAAATGATAATTACAGAATAAAGCAGCACAGAGATTTACATTTTATGCATGCCTCAGGTCACTTTTTAGCCTTGGGATCCTCATTCCTCCTCTTCTATCTTCTTATGAAACTCCCGACTCTTCACTCGGAGCTTGTTGACCTGCGACTCTGCAATGTCAGCCCGCTCCTTGGCTTCCTCCAGCTCGTGCTGGATCTTGTGGAACTTGGAGAGATTGACATTGGACAGCTCCTCCTATGTAGGGAGAGGGAGTTGTGAAAACACCAGGCAGTGTGTGGACATTTAATATCTGAATACCAGGCAAATAAAAATTTAAATGCCACAGCTGGGCAAGCAGGTAAGGCTCAAAACCAAGGTAAGAAGCTGCTCAGGGTGCTAAGTGTGCCAGTAGAGAAAAGAACATCAGAGTGTCAAAAACGCCATGGCCACATGACACAGAGCATTGTGTAGGTGGAATTCATGGCAGAGTCCTGAACAGACAGACTAGCAGCTGCTTCTGACACCCAGAGTAGGGTAGGAAGGAAGAAATACAGGCGGGAACTGAGGTTTAGAGCAAAACAAATAGATCTGGGGAAGTATAGTTCCTCCCAAACCCAGCAATTCTTACTCTTACACTCCCCATTGTCATGTAGCACCAAATGCATCAGAACAGTCAAGGTTTCAAAAACTTGGGACAGAATTAAACACCAACACAGAATTCCACCTCGACCAGAAGGAAGTCTGGGCTTAATCAGAGTGGTACTTACAGCCTCCTCAGCTTGCCTCTTGTAGGACTTCACTTTCATTTGCAGCTTGTCCACTAGATCTTGGAGCCTGAGAATATTCTTCCGGTCTTCCTCACACTACAGAGAATGGCAAGTAATAGAAACCCTTGTTTGCCTTTTTCTCTGAATTTCATAAATGTGAAACAGACAGAGTGACTTTCCTTACAGAGCATTGCTGTCCAAAAGGACAGAGGCCAAAATCCTGTTGACTGTGTCACTTACTGAAGTATAGAAAGAAAGCCCTTTGGAAGGCAATGTGCCAACATTTTGACTTCCTGGAAGAAGAGTGTGTCAACACAAAGAAACCTCTTGCCTTACCTGGTAGGTCAGCTCCTTCACCCTCCTCTCGTACTTGCGCACACCCTTCACAGCTTCAGCGCTGCGCTTCTGCTCAGCATCAACCTCCCCTTCCACCTCCCGCACCTGCAATGAGAAGCCCACCTTTGGAGCTTCCCTGGTATCTCTCCAAGGGACATGCTCACTCATGCACAAATAAAAGTCCCACGCACTCTGGCCTCCAGCTTCTGGATTTGCTTCTTGCCTCCCTTCAGGGCCAACTGCTCGGCTTCATCCAGACGGTGCTGCAGGTCCTTCACCGTCTGGTCCAGGTTCTTCTTCATCCTCTCCAGGTGGGCGCTGGTGTCCTGCTCCTTCTTCAGCTCTTCTGCCATCATGGCCGCCTGATGAGAGCAAAGGATCAAAGCCATTTTCAGGCTGGAGACATCCTGGGAACTACACATCCACCGTCAGCAGTGAGAAGAGCCCCTAACTCACATCTGTGATAGCCTTCTTGGCCTTCTCTTCAGCATTGCGGGAGTCCTGGATTGTGTCCTCCATTTCACCCTGAATTTGGGCAATGTCTGTTTCCAGCTTCTTCTTGGTGTTGATCAAGCTGGTGTTCTGTTGAAAAGCATCAATATCACAATTTTCTTTTTGTTAGCTTGTAATATCATATCAAGAACATTGCATAAACGTTGGTTTTTAATGTAAATTGTGCCATCAGGTCACATGGGATTCTGTTTTAAAGGAACTGCTGTGGTAGCTGTTAGTTTCTCAGCTATGAAGTGCTTCCATATTTCAAGAACATCCTCCATAAAGTCTTTCCTCACTGTTTCTCAGTCACCAGAGAAGGAATTTAGACTTATAAGGAAAAAAGACATAATCTTTCCTTACCATTTTCAATCTAGTGGCAGTAAAAATTTTAAATGGTGCTATAGAACACTTATAATGACATTGATAAATTATGTTAATGACAGTATTCATGTATTCCTATTTTGTTAATGATCAACCTAAGTTTGACTTTGCAGTCTCAAATGTAAATGTGAAAGCTGTTGAACTCAATTTAAGTTGTAGAGTAAGAACATCACTTATGTCTCTGAATTTATCACTTTTAAGGGATCCCCACTATAGTCTAGTGAAATTCATATTATAACTGCAGTTTAAAAGTCACTTTTAATATTTGTTATCCATATTGTGAAAATTACAATGCATTTTACAAAATACTGCTACAGTTCAGCCAGTCTTGAGTTATTTTATATGCATGGAGCAAAAGTATAAATACTAAATATATTTATACACTGACCTGGGTATGGAGAAGCTGCACACGCTCACTTGCATCCATCATTTCCTGCTCAGCCACTTTCCTCGACCGCTCCGTCTGCTCCAGGGCCGCCCGTAGCTCCTCAATTTCAGCCTGCAACAGGTTTGCTCTGCGCTCCACCATGGCCACCTGCTCCTTCAGGTCCTCCTGTGTCCTGAGAGCATCGTCCAAGTGTATCTGGGTATCCTTTAAGAGAGAAAAGAGAAATTATAAGGCGGTACAGCACTGTTGCACAATGGCTATTACTACCAGTCTAATAATC